TTAATGTCCAACATCGACGTGTAATTAATTGATTAACTAGAAATGATCACGCCCAAAGACAAATTCGATACTCATCCCACCCTGCTAGGATAAAAATCTGGGATATAAATTTCGAATCTTATCATTTCTGATGTTGATTAAAAATAAGACACACAAGCAGTCGAAAGCTAGAATATTAATTAAATTAAATGTTCATATTCGGAAATTACCGTAACGGTTGTTTACTGTTTAGTGACCCTTCTATCAACCCATATCCTAACTAAAGGTAACGATGAGACAGAGTGTTTTACTCATGCTTAATTTCTTTACCCAGTTTAACTTTCATATTCTGCAGTGATCAGATATCAGCATCTCAGCCAGAATTCCGTCGTTTTAACAAAGTTGATCTGGACAGCACTGGGGATAACGAGAAAGATGGCGATGATGGCGGTATTTGGTTTTCACAACCAGTTCATCCAGATCACATGTTATTATGCAGTCAGTCGCCGTCGACACAAACATCACAGGTACATTCTTGGACAACTTTTTAGAGTCCTGTATGGTATCAAGCGTTATTTGGTAAAAACGTTCCAAAGTAAGGTTTTCAACAACTATCAATAGAAAACACGACGCGACGTCTAAGGCGACGTGAAATGACGTATGCACCTCGCGTTTACTTCCGGGTTCTAATCTGGGACGGCATGTTTGTCTTTTTCGAAGCAAATTTTTGTTTTCTTGTTACCTGCTCACTCCTGTATTGTTTTCAATCAGTTGTTAAGATATGTGCAAGTGGCCAAGTGTTTCCTGATGAATTTGTATGAACATTCAATAAGTTGTTTTTTTTTTAAAAAAGCCGTATATTTCGGTATTTTGAAAAGTGCACTTTGTTGCATCATTTGGAATAAATATAAAAGCTGCAGGTATTGTTTACGAGCTAAATGTTTTAGTTTGTAGCCTATATTAAGTATATTCAATGATTTCAGTCAAGTTTGTCAACTGTTCAGTATAAATATTGCATCAGTGTTTATACTGGTAAAATGTAATACTGTTTACGATAGTTTTTCACGCTGGAAAGCGTTTTTTTTTACTTGTCCTACTTTTTTGCACTGTTGTGACAGAGCAACTAAACTTGCTATTATAACTTCAGTTCAGTTTGTTCTAAAATGTTTGTTTTGGTGAAGAATACTATAGCGGTATTGAAGTCGTTATTAACAATGCTTGCAGTTTTGTTGATTTGTTATGGCGACGAAAGTATTTGTCGAAAATCAACATGCACGTCCAAAATTTAGCGAAATACAAGAAAAACAACCTTGCTTGTCAATAACAAATATTTAACTAGAATCATTAAACAATACATGGGGACAAAATAGGATGATAATTATGATGCATACTCTCATATTTTTTTAAAAGAAGCATAAATCCGTGACGTTTCGTAAATCTGTGACATATTTCATAAATCTGTGACGTAATCTGTTTCATAAAGCTGTGGAAAAAAGCGAATTTTCACGTCGTGAAATCGCCCAAGACGACGTCGCAAACCAGAACCTGACGACAGTTGGCGCCAAATGATGACATCCTCGTCGTCTTTGAGCTCGCGTCGTCTTTTCTAAATCTGTCTAATGTTGCATCATGGGTAGACGGTACATGTAACATGGAAAAAACGTCTGGGTAGAGTCGTTGTGGGAACAGTGCCCTATTTAGCGATTTTAATATCTCAGAGGAGAGAGTTTGCTAACAATGTTGGATAATTATATACATCAGGCCTAGAAAATATACTGATTTCTCTTCCTGCCAAAAGTAAAACTTTTCCTGTGTTAGGGCCTGTTCATATGGGCAAAAGTTATCCCGGTTAACGAGAAAACTTTTCGACTAGCCAAATACTTTTGTTCTGTTCATATGGAGAAAGTTATCCCGCTAAGCGGGAAAGTTGTGTTCGTATGGGAAAAACATTATCCCGGTCACCGAGATCTCGCCTGTCAACAAGCGAGATCTCGGTACACGGGAAAACGTTTTGTCTCGTATGAACGCAGTGTAACTTTTCATATTATTTTCATACCAAGGCGAGATCTCGCTTGTAAACTTGTCGAAAAGTTTTCTCGCTAACCGGGATAACTTTTGCCCATATGAACATTTCAGTGAACGTATAGTGCGGCACAATGTGATAAACTTCAATCTCGGCACAAGACAATCTAAACTTGCAACACACTCTTGGAATTTAGTAAATTATATACTGTAGCATTCCACCATATAAGATGACAAACATTTCCTGCAAGGTCTATGAAAATTTCCTGCGAAGATATTTTGTTAAAAATTTCGTGCAGGCAGCGGTGCTGCAGGACATTTTCCAGCACTGTGCTACATACTGTAATTCTGCATGCACTTGAAGCAAGGTTTTTTTTAACAATGTCGTTGCTCATGCCGTGTTATTTTCAGACACCGTTTCAAAGATTAGTGAAGCGAATGACGAGATTCAACTCAAAAGTTGATGCTGAAACAACTCTGAAAGAACTTCGCTCGGTATTGGACAAACGGAGCTATCAATTCAAAATAACGAATTCTAAAGTGGTAAGCATATTAAAAGGTTTATTTCGTAAGACTTGTAATGTTACTTAGATAAATAAGGAATGCACACATGATATAAGATTACTGTACCTATAGATAACTGAAAAAATCTTTTAACGTGAAAAACGGTCCAGAATTTTAGTACATAGCCAGAGACTTTTATTTCGCAGTTGGTTTTACCAGAAATACATGCATGCAGCAACCCCTCGCGTTTTCAAACCAATATATATAGTCCCCTAACATTTTTCAAAATCCATTTCCGGCAGACTGCAATTGAAGAAAACATAGCTAAATTGAACAAAAATGTAAACATACTTCAAGTTGAATTGTTCGAACATTGTTCTATTTGACGTTGTTTTAACACGAGATACCCAGTAGACTGTTTCGCAGCAGCCAAATTAGTGGTAGCCGTTAACATTGACGTTGTTATATTTTTTAACTTTTTGAGTATCTTTTTCTACAAAATGACAAACAATTAACGGAAAGCTTATACTTTTAGCGATAGAAATTTAAATGCCCTTAAATATAAAATAGCGTAGTTATACAGTGTATGTCGGTAGTACTAGACATTCTATAAACTTCAGTTTTATCTAAAATTCAATCTTAGACGTCTGAAATTTTCCGAGAAAAATGGAATGCCCTGTAGCTTTTATACAAATAATGAATGTTTCTTCGTGCAATGGTAAGAATATTTTCATTCGGTGAAAGATGGAATGTTCCATTCAACGAGGCGACAGCCGAGTTGAATGGAACATTCCATCTTTCACCGAATGAAAATATTCTTACCATTGCACGAAGAAACATTCATTATTTGTTTTATATAATACCAAAAGTCCAGAACAGACTAATAGATTCATATGAGAAGCATTTTGAGGGATGCGATTTATCGAAAACACAAAGAGTGCAATTGTACTA